GGTCTCCCTCAGGGGCAAGTAGCGAGGACACAAGATGAGGTAAAGCAGCAGCAAGACACTGGAACTCCTCCTGCCTGTCCTCAAGGACGTCCGTGCTAAGAGCACACTCACCCCCGACGGACGGAGGACAGACAGACGCAGACTCAGTAACAAGACCGGCGGCGTAGTCTAGACGACAGGCAGCAGCAAAGTCAACAAGCTCAGCGACAAGAGCAGACGCAGCAGTAGACTCAAACGACGGGTCAGTGACAACAGTGGCTAGCAGACGCGTGACAGTAGGGTGCTCAGCACGAAACCGGTCAGACTCAGGGTCTGGAACGTCAGGTAGAGAGGACGCAGGAGGAGACGGAAGAGGAACAGGCTGCAGAGCAGAGGAAGGACGACGAACTACGAGGTGTGTGCTGGGGACAGCCTGCTGACGCGAACGAGGAACACGACGACCGGGACGAGCAGGCGAGACAGGACGCGACACAGGCTCACGACGCTCAGCAGGACTACCAGTCTGCTCAGTGTAAGGAGAAGGAGCAGGCAGCGGTGAGCCAGGCTGTAACGGAAGACCAGTAGACGACGGGAGAGTAAGAACCTGACGAAGAACAGAGTCAGACGGCGGCAGAGACGACGGAGACGGCGGAGCGAAGAACAGTCGTGTCGGCGCAGCTGCATCAGTACCGGCAGCTCCAGCAGCTCCAGTACCCCCAGCAGCTCCAGTACCTCCAGCAGCTCCAGAACCTCCAGCAGCTCCAGAAGCTCCAGTCCCAGAGTCGTCACCTCCAGTCCCAGTGTCTCCAGCCCCTGTGTCTCCAGCAGTAGCACCCCCAGAACCAGCACCCCCAGTCCCAGGGTCTCCAGCCTCAGTGTCACCAGCAGCAGCACCCCCAGAGCCAGCACCTCCAGTCCCAGGGTCTCCAGCCTCAGTGTCTCCAGTACGAGTACCTCCAGAACCAGCGACTCCAGCACCTCCAGTAGACAAAGGTCCAGCACCACTCCTAGCTCCAGCAGCGCGACGCTGACGGTGACCGTACCAGTCCTGGAGCTGCTGTGGGGTGAGAGGCACACGTGGACGAAGGCGGCTACTCCAAGGAGACCGCGCAACAGCAGACTCAGAACCCTCAGCGCCAGCACCCCCAGCTGCTCCAGAACCTCCAGCGCCAGCACCCCCAGGCTCCTCACGCGTAGGCTCAGTACCCGCAGACTCGGCACCCGCAAGCTCAGCACCTCCAGGCTCCTCACGCGCAGGCACAGCACCCTCAGACTCGACACCCCCAAGCTCAGCACCGCCAGGCTCCTCACGCACAGGCACGGCATCCCCAGACTCCGCACCCCCAGGCTCAGCACCTCTAGGCGCCTCTCGCTCAGGCTCCGCACCCCCAGGCTCAGCACCCCCAGAGACAGCACCCCGAGCAGGACCACCTCCAGCAGGACCTGAGTCACCAGTGACCTCAACAGGCGCAGGTACCGGAGGGTCTACCTGAGAAACACCTGAAGGAGCAGGACCTGGCGCGGGGAGGGGGTCTACCTGGGGAGGACCTGGAGCGAGAAAGAGCGGCGGGGGGGGGCGAGAGGCAGTGCGGTAGGGAAAGAGACGGTAGAAGGGAACAGACTCGTCAAAGGTGACGTCCTGAGACGCAAAGACACGGCGCGAGGTGGGGTCGTAAAACTGCCAGCCAGGCGCGTCAGGAGGAAAACCAAGGAAGACGCAGGGAATGGCGCGAGCAGAGAGCTTGTCCGCGGTGAGATCGCGGACAAAGGCACGAGCACCCCAGACCCGGAAACGCGACGCATCGCCAACCTCCCCCGTCCACAGCAGTGTGGGCGAGGTCTCCGGCAAGGAGACACGGGGCCAGAGGTTGAGCTGATGCGCGGCGTACCGGACCGCGAACGGCCACAGAAAATGGGGGGCAGCCGCATGGATCATGGAAGTACGAGCGACCTCCATGACTAAGCCAATGCGGCGCTCAGCAACCCCATTCTGCTGCGGAGAGGCCGGAAGCATGAACGACTGGGTGATGCCGTGCTCCGCACAGTAGGCTGCCAAGAGGTCTGAGGTGAACTCACCACCTCTGTTAGAGTGCAGACGCAGGACAGAAAAGTCCCGCCGGAACCGCTCGCGGAGCTGGAGACGAACAGCGCGGATCCAGGGGATCAAAACATCAGGGACGTCCCCCTTGCTGCGCAAGGGGAAGACCGTGGTGTAGCGCGTGTAGTCGTCGACGACCAGCAGGAAGTACCGCTCGTGGCCCTGTCCACGGACGCGGGCTGGGCCCCACACGTCCAGGTGGAGAGTCCGCAGGGGAGCCTCTGTGGGAGGGAACGAGGAGGAGTGAGGAGCGGCGCGCTGCCGCCCCTCGACACAGGGAATGCAGGGCGGCGCAGGCGAGGGAGGGAGGGCAGGCAGAGACCTGGGAAGACCAGAGACCAGGGAGCGAGAGTGCATGCTACGAAGGCGAGGCAGGGAGGGGTGACCAAGGCGGTGGTGCCAAAGGAGAGTGTCGTGCGACAAAGCGCGACACTCGCAGGGGGCCGCCAGCTGACCAGACGTAGACGCAGACGCAGCTACCTGAGGGGACTCAGCGGTCAGTGTGTACAGACTCGAGCCAGGTGCACGGGTGAACGTGGCCAAGTGCCGGCCCGTCCGAGCACACGTACAGTGAGTCACTCGCTGACTCGCAGGAGTGAACTGGTCAACCCCGCCATCCTGGAGGTCAGCTCCACTCACCAAGTTCGTAGAGAACGAGGGGAGGTAAAGACCTGACAGCGAGCCGGACGGGACGGCCGGACACGGCAGAACCGTGGAGTAGTGGGCAAGGACGGGACCCCCAGAGGGGTCCGCCAGGGAGACTGGAACTGGCCGACTAAGCGGCGTGAGTGTGGTGCAGTCGCGAAAGAAGGAGCGGGAAGCTCCTGAGTCAAGGGTGAAGGTGTGCGAGACCGATGCGGGCGCAGCACCAGAGAGAGCAGACTCACCAGCACCTGGAGCAGGAGACGTACTAGCACCAAGAGCAGCAGCCTCACCAGCACCTAGAGCAGGAGACGCAGGAGCACCTAGAGCAGCAGCCTCACCAGCACTAAGAGCAGCAGGCTCTATACCAGGGTCAGGCGGTACGCACAGGTAACAGGCACGGTCAGCACTAGTAGGCAATGCATACATGGCAGTGAGAATAGCATCATAGTCAAGCGCAAAGATATCTACCCTCTGTCCATGCAGCTCCAGCCAGGTAGGGAGCTCAGCCTCGTCGCCAAACACTGTACGCCAGTCGTCGCTCAGACGGGCGAAGCAGCGGGACTGTGTGTGACTAAGCGTCCCGCAAGGCTGACCAGTCCTAGCACCTGTGCGAATGACGTACGGGCAGCGAACTGTACGCGTAGACCTGCTACACTGAGCGTACCACTCATGGAGCTGCTGGAGCGTAAGTGTCTCGCGTGGACGCCGCTGCAGCTGCAGCTGGCCACTGCCAGACGCCCCCAACTGACCGGCTCTAGGGCGACAGCTACGACGGCTACCACGACAACCCCAAGTAGCGTACCACTCAACTACAGCCTAGACAATATGCAGCACATATAGTTTGACATATTCCAGGGTTGATGAATTGTGCCACAAGGGACGGACGGGGTTGGGCTAGGAAGGGAAGGTCCGGACTATGGTTTGATATGCAATTTTTTTGCGACTTTTTCCCTCATTTCCCTGGATCTGGTTGCAGGGAATGAAGTCCACTTACCAAAATAGGGAGTTAACTTCCATGGTCGGTCAAGTCAGCTCATCATATGGGTCATGGTATAGTGGATGACTGAAAAGTATATTTTGTTGCCTATTTAGTGTTAGTGTGTCCTATAATGTTGATTGGTATTCTTATATGGAGTAATTTTGAGGGGGTGAATCTGGATATTTTGTTCAGTATGGGATATTGTTCACAGCGAGAACCAGGACCACACATACTGTACACACGGTACATACTGTATTTGAAACCAATTATTGCTTCCAACGCACGCGAGTACACCTTCACGCATGTGCGCAGAATGGCGACCTTCAAGCTCAGGAAGAGGCTGGCGGGAGCCTCTACTTGGTTGCTGCTCGCGGAGGGTAAACCGCTTGGTCAAGGCGCAACACTCGCCTAGTCCTTGATACTAGAAACACTGCTATTGCACGCCATAATCAAGATAGTATCGGTTCCGTTTCCAGTCTTGCTTAAGAGAGTCGGGTCGGGATACGGAATTCAGCGGCAGTTGCGTGCCAGATCAACCGTCTCTTCCCCTTCCGTACACCTGGGTTGGCTGTGCGAGCTGGAGGGTGCACCAATGGAGGTAGCAGCTGCAGCCACCGGCTTCGTTCTGGTGTGCACCAATGCGGTCCAAACGTGTGCACCAATGCACCAATACTCTTTCTACCGTCCGATTCCAATTGAAAACGTCAACGTTGGGGTGGGGAGAGTTTTCACCGCTGGCTAGTGTTCACGTGCCTCGTAACACGACCAACTCCTCCCATTCCACACCACACTCATGCGATAGGCCAATATTTGAGAGGGACATCAGATGCTATTGTACTTTATACGATATACTAGGTTGCCAGCTCCTATCGGAGGGGGGTTAAGTGCAGGAATGGCGGTCATCAAGCGACAACTAGGCCGGTGCAATGATTCCCGGTGCCCTCCTCGTCAGTCCACTTGGCCCACACTTCACAGCACTTTCGCGCACGCCTCCTGCCACGCGAGTTGCGGTTTCGCGCTTGATTGGAGTAGGAATGCGGCAAGAAAGCGTCCCTCGGGTGTCAAGAGGCGAAGGACTGTCCAGGGGGCTGAACCCAGCCCACGATTAAGCCTTGTACCTTGCTCGACCGCGACGTCATTCCCTTCCCTCTTGAAGGATATAGCCGCCGTTCGATAGCAATGAAGTCTGGGGGTAACTGAGCGGACACAAATAGACTTGCAAGACTCAAAGTCATGCTTTCGTCAGTTGCTGGCTAAGAAGAAGACCTAGCACTACCGCTTTAAAGAAGAACAGCCACCATGCCGCATTCCGCTGAAGCCGTCGACTCACCGTCCTTGCAATCTGCGTCGCCTGGCATGCAGCCATGGTCGCAAGAGGTGGGTCGCGAGAGTTGCGTCGAGGAAATTTTAGAGGTCCGTCGGATTTTAAGCTTGAAATGGGATCCGAAAATCATTTTTGCGATTCCGTTTGTTGTGCGAGAGGGATTATACTACCGTTGTGCGTCAGGACACGTTCAGTGCCGCGCACTTTCACTCTCAAACGGTCCTTCGCATTTATTCTTAATGTCTCAAAGTCGCAATGTTCATCATCCGCACACACCCTGCCTGATTGCCTTTCCGCTGCGCACTGGGTGGGCAGGAGGACGCGGTGCTGCTGCGCCACGCGCTGCTTCTTGTCTCAAATCGTCTCCATTCTCTCCCCCCCTTCCCCCCACTTCCCCCCTTTCCTCACGGCAGGAGGACGCGGTGCTGCTGCGCCACGCGCTGCAGTGCGGCACGAAGCAGTGGGGCGAGCTGGGGAGGAGCGGTCAGCTCAAGAGGAGCAACAAGTCGTGCTGTAACCGTTACATCTTCCTCCGAAGGTAACCTCGCATGCCGCATTTCAAAAGCTCTTTTCAATTCAGGCGTCTTGATACGCCTGAGCATTTCTAACACGCCTCCTCTCCTCCCTGACTGGCTGTGTGTGTTGATGACAGGAAGTTCACAGACCGCTTTCGCCAGAACGTACTGCGAAAGCACCTGGGAGCTGCTGCATTCCCGCAGCATATTCCATCCGACGGACACGATCAGCCGCTGTTTTGTCAGGATATAAAGCAGCAGCACCGCCACTGGCAGCGTCCGGAGGGCATCGGAGCAGCAGCACGCGCGTTCGGAGGGCTTTCATTCGATGAGTGCATGATGGTGTTCCTCGCCCCCAATGCACGCTTCTGCCTCCCAGCAGCCCCACCCAACCTCTCATCTCTCACCAGCCCTCCGCCTGCTTCCCAAGCTCCTCCTCCTTCTTCCCAGGCCTCCACCTTCTCTGCTGTCGCTGCTTCTCCCACCGAGTTTCCATTCGCCCAAGATTACTTCCCTCTTGCTGCTGCCTCCAACCCCAACGCCGCGGCTCTGCGTCGTCCGTTGAAGCGACCACGGCACGAGCCGCTGCTCCGTGCACGCAAGAGCGGGTGGCTGCCAGGCGGGGTGGTGCGAGGCGGGTGGGCGGGAAGCACGGAGCGCCGGCATCAGTCAGTGGCAGAGCAGTTCCAGCAGCAGGGGGAGAGCAGCGGCGTGCAGCAGGTGGGCGCGAGGAGCCACGTGCAGCAGCAGAGTGCGAGCAGCTGCATGCAGGCAGAGGAAGAAGCCCTTTTAGAGGCTCTGCTGCAGGACTGCCATCAGCAGCAGGGAGGAGCGGGTATCAGGGTGTTGTGTCCGCGCGTTGGGTCGGAGAGTGCCCTTCCACCGCTGCCACCGCCAATGCCCTCCCACCTCGCTGCTCTGCCTGCCTCCACTCCCCGCACTGGAGGTTTCGCAGCGCAGCGGGTGGACTCGCAGCATGTTGGGTCGGAGAGTGCCCTTCCAGACGACATGCTGCTGGGATTTTGCAGCGAAGACTCTGGTTTCACCCAATGCGCTGCTCTCTCTGCTCCTCCGCCCACCCAGCCACACACAGCGCTGCCAGCGCCAATGCCTTCACATGTCCCTTCTCCGCCTGGCCCCACTCTCAGAGGCTCGAGCAGCTGCATTACAGCGACGCTTGCTGGGAGTATGTGTGGCACAGAGGAGCAGCAATACGAGGACACATGCATTAACGCACTCAGCGATGGAAACAACACCGATGACAACAGCAACAGCAATGGCGATGCTCTCTTTCTCGACATGCTGCTGGGTGGGAGTGCCCTCGCCGAGCCTTTGGCAACCATTGGGCCTCAGCAACTGGCGCTGGCAGCCCCTTCTGCTGATGGGGCAGCCCCTGCTGCTGATGGGGTAGCCCTGCAAGAGTGGGTGGTGGAGCAGGGAGGGACCAGGGAGGGAGGTGCTCACCTGCACGGGCAGCAGCACTTTCTTGACCAGGAGACCACGCTGGCACAGTGGGAGTTCTTTCAGAGGCTAGAGCTTGAGCGCACTATCTCGCTGCCACGGCACCAGGCACTGCCACTATCACTCCCACAGCCACTCTCAAAGGCACTGATGCAATCACCTTTGCTGTCAGCCCCTTCTCAACTTCCTATCGCGCCTGGTGCCACCGGTGCACCGTACATTCCCTCGATCCCGAGGGGCTCGCACATGCAAGCTCTTATACAGCCGCGCCCTGCCATGCTGCTGCAGCCCTTCTCCCTTGGTGCTTTGCCATCTCTTTGCCGAGCCCATGCTGTCTCCGTAGCCCAACTTGGCTGTTGCTCTGGGAGGTGATGGCGCTGCTTTGAATCCCATTGGCGCTCGTGGGCTCGGCCAAGCACAAACTGGCTACATCCGAACGTGGATGGGGCTTTGCGTAGAACCTTGACTTCAGATCTGGGATGCCTCAGCCTCCAACCCAACATGTACATACCAAGATATGCGGGCTTCAGACCAAGCTGAGATTGTGCTGAACTTTGCACAAAGTTATGCTCCCTTACTTTGGTCACCATGTTTCAAAATAAAGTTTTTACTATAAATTGTGTAGTTTGTGTCTTTTCATTTTGTTCCTGTCTAGTCCCGATGCCCCAATACAGCTTGTACCCGCGTTACTGTCAACTCTTCTGATTGTGCTTCTCGAAGCGATGCTGATCCCCACCTGTCTGCCCTGTGATGGGGCGAGGCGGAGGTCGTGCCAGTAAACCAGACAGCGACAATGATGCACCTAGAAGTCCGATCGCCAACCTCGCAGGCACGAACGGACAACATTCGCGCACTGTCCGTCAGGATCTTGCGGCTCGATCATTCCAGCGATCGCGTCCGCGTGCAGACGACAGCACACCGCAGCTCGCTTATCGTTCTAATGTAACGCCACTTTTTAGCCATGGCGTCACTGTTCGCAGCTCCGCGTTTCGCGGCATCGGTTCTTGCTCGCTCGGCATCAATGCATCCTTATCCTCATCTGCACCCAATACCGTTGCGCTACGAAGAACCGCACATTGACGACGACCGTTACGATTCGACGTTCTTCACACCCACTTGACCTTCGATGACCGCAGCAGCCTCGCGGCCCCAGATCTGCCGAGTCGCATGTGTGGAATCAGGAGACTGCCTGACAATCGCGGCATTCGTCACAACCATAACGACACTGACCGCACCAGGCTCGCTTCAGCTTCGCCGAGTCGCGTGTTGTAAGCTTGCACTATTCGTGTGGCAATGGTTGCGTCGCATGGGTGACGACGAGTTTCCGCGAACGTTGCTGTCAATCTCGACCTCTATGCGATTCCGGTATCCGGGTGGATGAGCGGTCGGAAGGTAGTAGGTGCCACGTGGGTTGAGCGTCGCGTGGGGGTTGAGCGTCGCATGGGAGGCTGAGCGTCGCATGGGGGGCTGGGCGACGTGTGGGGGGACGAGCGACGTTTGGGGGGGGCGAGCGACGCGGGGGAGGATAAGCGTGTGCATGGGTACCTCAAAGGATGGTGAGCAGTCGCGCCAGAGGAAGAGACGGCATCCTTGACCGTCGCTCTATCCCCGCCTGCCTTTCCCGCCCTCTGTCGCCCCTCCTCCAACCACTTTGTCCTTTCCTCCCATCTTGCCGTCGATTCCTTCCCCTCAACAGTCGCTTCCCTAGTCCAACGTCTTCCCTTTGCGCCCCTTCGTCTCTCCTTTTCTAGTGTCCCTCTCTCTGTCTTGCCAATACCTGATATTTTTCATTTTAGAGGATTCTTCATTGTGTTTCCTCCCTTTTATGTTCCCCCATCCGTGTTCCCCCTTTCCCCCCGTCCCTTCGCCTTCCCGTGGGGCCAGAGCATGGCAGCACGGGGAAAGGGATGTGTATGGCAGCACGGGGAAAGGGATGTGTATGGCATGCACGGGGAAAGGGATGTGTATGGCATGCACGGGGAAAGGGATGTGTATGGCATGCACGGGGAAAGGGATGTGTATGGCATGCACGGGGAAAGGGATGTGTATGGCATGCACGGGGGAGGGGATGCGAGACCAGGTGCTGCGGGCACAGGTGAGCATGGCACAGGTGGGCATGGCACGGCACGCACGAGGGGGGTGGGGTGCAGGGTGCTGCTGGCGGGCAATGGCTGGGCTTTGCACGCTGGCAGTAGCCAGTTGGTCCCGGAGGAAGGGCTAAGGGAAGAGAGTTGTGGGCCGTGGGATGGAGGGGGGCCGTGGGATGGAGAGGGGCCGTGGGGGACGGGGATGGGCCATGGGGGAGAGGACTTCGTTCCAGGTGCATTACCACTGGGTGACGAATTTCTTGCTCTCGCATGTTCCACGCCACGCCCTCTCCCCACTCTTTGCCCCCCCATTAGATGAGAGCAAGATCCAGGAGCAGCGGAAAGAGAAAAGATGAGAAGGGCGGGAAGCGGGGGGGAGTAGGGGAAGCTGAGAGCACTGGAGAGCAAAGAGCAGCGGGAGAGAAGGGGTATCTGTGAGAAGTGGGTGGTGAGAGGGACAGTTGGGTTGGGAGCAGCAGGGGAAAATGGGAGAGCTGAGAGCAGCGATGAAAAAGGGGCGCTGGGAACTGGATTTGTTTGTGGGGAAGGGAGGAAGTCCACTCGACCAAGGTTTATAGTGAGCTCTCAGGCATATGGCCATACAATTAGGGCGTGTTCCTACGGCCCCCTATCAGGCCACCTCCTATCAAGCTTAGAAAAAATTACACTCAAAATCGCGCGAACCCTAAACCCTTTGCGCATTTTACCAGGCAGGTCTGATAAGAGGTGCCTGATAAGGGGTTGTAGGAACACGCCCTTACAAGTATATTTGTGGCCTTCATAGGAGTATGGTGTTCTGCAGTGAAACTGTAGTAACTGTGCTGACTGATATGCTTATATGAAGCAATTTTGGGGAATAGAACCTGCGGGTGAGTAGTGTTTCTTACTGCTATGAGGGAGGTTTGTGACATCTACACATGTCAAACATCATTCATAGCCCCTAGCTTCTGGGCGTCTGACTGATATAGCCTGGAATGGTTTAGGGTGTCTGTGAAAAACGTTTTCAGGGCGTGAAATTACCAGCGACCAGGAGCAAGAATCAGGACAACACTTCCAGATTTAGGGTAGTTCCTGGCTAGTGTCAAACTTCCGGTATTCCCGGGATGACACGAAGCTCGCCCCACAGCTCGCCCCACTTCGGGTCATCCCTCAAAAATTTGCCCCTGGCTCGGAAAACACGAAGTTTGGCCGGAAGTTTGACACGCGCCAGGAACGCGCCCTTAGCACAACTAGACATAAATGCATAGTCTATGCACCCGGTAACATGGGAAATTTCCAATTGGGTCCCCTGGGGAACCGCTGACGCACCATCACACAGGCATTGTTCTGCAGGTGTTTTTTGGCGAGAAACAGGGCGCGCAGAATTTTCGTTGATAAGGCCTTTTCTGCTTATCCAGGTTTGGTGATAAGCGAGTGCTTGCCAAGCCTGTTTGCGCCAATTTTGACGCTTCAGCCTGCAGAACGCCACTTTTGGTGCGCAAAGGTTTTACCTTCAGCTGGTTCGAGGATGTTGCTTCAACGGGCAAAATGTCGCACCGTTTGTGCGGTGCTGATTCTACCTCGGGAGCTAGCATCAGCCTCCCGCACATGTTATGCGGGGCAGCACCAGCTAGTCCTCAAGCCACTGTACGGGTAGAAAATCAGCCCACTTTCGAACCAAACCTGACCCATCACGCCAACAGTAGTAGCTGTTCCAATTGTCTAACTAGCTGGGACCAGATTCACGACTTACTAGAGTTTCTTCGTGAAGTTTTGGTGAAGACCTGGCCAGAGCGTGGGCAGTTCTGAAATGAGAATGTTGGTTAAAATGAGAAGGTGCGGCGGGGATGGTGCGGGACTTCTACGAAAAACCTAGGCAACAACTGCAGCTTGGGTGCACCGCGCAACAACGCGGAAGGCCCTGGCCGGACAAAATATGCGGAGCCAATAACGCCTGCAGAACAACGCCCCAGTCAAAGACTCGGGCTGCGCTCGCCCTAATTGCCCAGCTACTTGCCCAACTGTTATTGCACGCCATAATCCGCAAGGTAGCATTCAAGCATCGGTTCCGTCTGCTCCGCGCTCTTGGTCGAGATATAGCATTCGGCAGCAGTCGCCAGGTCAACGACCTCAGCTGTCGTCGATTTGAAACAGAAACACCAACACTCCTACAGTCTCGTGTCATCGCTGGCACGTGTTCTCGTCGCTCGTGTCACACCATACGACGGTGGCTCCTCCCGTTCCATTCCGTACACGTACTATGAAAGGCCGAGATCGAGGGACATCCGATGCTAGTGCAAGATTTACTAGCTTGCCACCTCCTATTGGAGGTTGCGAGAGCGGGGAGTGCGTGCAAGGCTATACAGCGAGGCGAGTGCAATGATGAATATCATCAATGCGTGCCTCGTCTGGATTCATTCGGCCCACACTTCAGCACCGAGGCGCCATCCTCGTGGCTCACTCATCACACTTCACCCCCTTCGATCAAGCCATTCCTCCCACACCACACCTCGGCCGGGTCCTTCCACGTGAGTCTCGCTGGCGGCTGCGGCGCGCGTTTGGAGGGGAGTCGGGGCCAAGAAGGAACCCCTCAGATGCCAAGGCGAAGCGCGGGCCGAACCCCTCCTACCCGACACTCAAGCCTAGGGTTTGTTGTGCATCCCTCCGCGTCTGTGCTCAACGGTGGCGGTATCCGCTCCACTGAACCCATGATGGTGTCAGTGACCACCTTGCGCAAGGGCGAGCTAGGGCGTGATAATGGTGAGCCAGAGCATGCTGGTGATATCAACTTGCAATGCAAGATCATGCTCTAACTCACCTTCTTTCGGCATCTAATGAGTTGAATCAAAGTCGTGCTTTCGTCGGTTAACTCTGCCGCCACCACTGCGCTTTAAGGAAAAGCAGCTTGGCCGCCGATGCCGCATTCTTCCGAAGCTATCGACTCGCCGGTCTCGCAATCCTTGTCGCCCAGCGTGCAGCAATGGACGCGAGAGGTGGGTTGCGAGAAGAGCGTTCAGAAGAGAATCTCTCAAGGCCTCCGTTCATTCACCTTGAGATGCGATCCAGCACTCAATCTTGCAATTACTCCCTGCGAGGACGCATTCACTGCGCCTTAAGCCGCGGTCTTCACACTCACTACTCATGACATCATGCCTCTGCATGCACTCGCACGGCAGGAGGACGCGGTGCTGCTGCGCCACGCGCTGCAGTGCGGCACGAAGCAGTGGAGCGAGCTGGGGAGGAGCGGCCAGCTCAAGAGGAGCAACAAGGGCGTATTCCTGACTTCGGGTCATCCGGTGTTTGGGTCATCCGAAAATTGTGGTAGCCAATCGGAAACCCCGCGGTTTGAGATTCGAGTTTTGCAATTGGATCCCACAAATTCGGATGACACGAAGACGGGATGACCCGAAGTCAGGAATACGCCCCAAGTCGTGCTGTAACCGTTACATCTTCCTCCGAAGGTAACCACGATTATTGGTTATTTATCCTTTTAATTTATTTAAAATTCTATTTATTAATTGAATAACTTTTGTTGGGGGGGGGGTGTATTCAGGTGTCTTGATAAGCCTGAGCATTTCTAACTGTCCTCAGCCTCTCTGAACACCTCTCCTCTCCTGTGGCCGTGTGTTGATGGCAGGAAGTTCACAGACCACTTTCGCCAGTACTTTCTGAGAAAGCACCTGGGAGCTGCTGCATTCCCACAGCATATTCCATTCGACGGACACTCTCAGCCGCTGTTCTGTCAAGAATCCAATCAGCAGCAGCAGCAGCAGCAGCAGCAGTGGCAGCAGCCGGAGGGCATCGGAGGAAGTGCGTTCGGAGGGCTGTCGTATGACGAGTGCATGACCGCGTTCCTCGCCCCCAATGCAAGCTTCAGCCTCCCAGAAGCCCCGCCCTACCTCTCATCTCTCGCCAGCCCTGTTCTTGCTTCCCAGGCTCCTCCCCCTGCTTCCCAAGCTCCTCCCCCTGCTTCCCAAGCTGCCACCTTTGCTGCTCCAGCTGCTTCTACCTCCGAGATCCCGTTCTCCCACGGTGCCGTCCCCATGCATGCCGTCCCCATGCATGCCGTCCCCATGCATGCCGTCCCCATGCATGCCGTCCCCATGCATGCCGTCCCCGTTGATGCTGCCTCCAGCGCCGCTGCTCTGCATCGTCCACTGAAGCGACTGAGAGACGACTGCGCGGGGCTGGCGGCACACCAGGCGCTGCTCCGTGGACGCGACAGCGGCTTGGTGCTGCTGCGACGCGGGATGGCGTGTAACACGGAGCGCCAGCGTCAGTCAGCGGCAGAGCAGTTTGAGCAGCAGGAGGAGAGCAGCCGCGTGCAGCAGGCAGCGGAAGAAGCCTTTTTGGAGGCTCTGCTGCAGGAGGAGGAGCATCGCCAGCAGCAGCAGGGAGGAGTGGCGAGCAGGGTGAAGCGGGTGGAGTGGCCGCGGGTTCGGTCGGAGAGTGCCCATCCAGACGGCGTGCTGCTGGGGTTCAGCGGTGACGACCCTGCCTTGATGCAACACGCTGCTCTGTCTGCACCCCCGCCCACCCTGCCACATGAAGTGCTGCCAACGCCAATGCCCCCCCAGCTTGCTGCTCCACCTGGCTTTGGAAATTCCACTCTCGCTCGCTGCATTGGGGATTTCGCAGGGAAGGCATTGGACAGGCCGCGCGTTGGGTCGGAGAGTGCCCTTCCAGACGACGTGCTGCTGGGGTGCAGCGGCGAGGTCCCTGCTTCCACGCAGTGCGCTGCTCTCTCTGCTCCCCCGCCCACCCTGCCACTCTCTTCTCTTCCCACTGCAATGCTCCCCCGACTCGCTGCTTTGCCCGGCTCCACTCCCTGCGTTGGCGATTTTGCCGTGCAGCCAGGAGAGTGGCCTTGCGAGAGCGCCCTTCCAGACAGCGTGCTGCTGTCTGGATTCAGCAGCAAGGACCTTGCCTTCATGCAACGACCAGCTCCCTCTGTTCCTCCTCCCACCCACCCACACGCAGCGCTGCCAACGACCATGCCCTCCCAAGTCCCTTCTCCACCTGACCCCTCTCTCAGGGGCTCAAGCAGCTGCATTACAGGGGCGCATGCAGGGAGCGCGTGTGGCACACAGGAGCAGGAACACGTGGATGCATGTGTTAACGCGTTCGGCAACGGAGACTACACCGGTAGCAATGCTACCAACTATGACTATGCTCTCTTTCTCACAACGCCCCTGGCTCACGTGCTGCTGGGTGGAAGTGCCCTCACCATGCCCGTGGCCAGTGAGCCTCAGCAGCAGGCGCTGGCAGCCCCTGGTGCTGCTGGGACAGCCCATGCTGCTACTGGCGCAACCCGTGGTGCTGCTGGGGCAGCCGTGGCAGAGTGGGCAGTGGAGCAGGGAGGGACTGGAGAGGCAGGTGCTGAGCTGCACGGGCAGCAGCACTGTCTTGACCAGGAGGCCATGCTTGCACAGTGCCTAGAGCTTGAACGCATTCTCTTGCTGCCACAGCACCAGCCACAGACAGCCACAGTCCCTCCCACAGCCACTGCTGCAAACGCCTTTGCTGTCAGCCCCTTGTCAACTTTCATTGGCCCCTGGCACCACCACCAGTACACTGAACACGCCCTCCTCAACCCAAAGGAGCTCGCAAATGGAAGCTTCCATACAGCCACGCCCAGCCATGCTGCAGCAGCCCTTCTCCCTTGGTGCTTTACCATCTCTCTGCCAAACCAATGCTGCCTCCGCCATGGCCCGACATGGCAGATGCTCTGGGAAGTGATGCCGTCCTTCTGAATCCCATTACCGGTCATGGGCTCAGCTTGGTTGTGCGCGGCTCGGCTAATCTGTTCAAGAAACAGCTATACTACCGGGGGATGAGGTTATGAATCATGACGAGAGCATGAAACCCACCGGTATTATCTCACATATGGCCGTACGCAGGTGGGATGCCTCCAACCTTCATCCCAACACATATACATACCAAACGATATGGTTACCATTCCATAACGAGCTGAGATTCTGCCGAACTTAGCAAAAAGTTGAGCTGCATTATTGATGGTCCATACAACTATAGGTTATTGAGTGTAGTTTGTAAGAAAGCTTGTATATCGTGTGTCTTTCCTTTTTGTTTATTTGGAGTTCTCTTAAAAGAACCCCTCAACAAAACTCATATCCGCGTTACAGTCTCTTCCCTTGATCGTAGTTCTCGGGGATGGCGCGAGGCACCACCCCTCTGCAGCATGATGAAGCGGCGCGCCTGACAAACCCGGAAGTCCGATCGTCAACTTACGGGTCGACGTGCTAGCAGGCACATTAGTCAACATTCTCGCACGGTCCGTCAGGCTCTTGCGGCTCGACCATTCCAGCCTACGGCGATCGCGTACGCACGGTAGCAGACGACATCGTACCGCAGCTGGCTTGCCAGTCTGATAACGCCACTTTTTACCCATGGGGTCACTGCTCGCAGCTCGCGACACCAGTTCTCGCTCGCTCTGCATCATTACATCCTTATCCTCATCTGGATCAATGCCCGTTGCGCTACGAAGAACCGCACAAAGACGACGATCGTTGCGATCCGGCGTTCTTCACACTCACGTGACCTTCACACCCACGTGACCTTAACACCCACGTGACCTTCACACCCACGTGACCTTCACACCCACGTGACCTTCACACCCACGTGACCTTCACACCCACGTGACCTTCACACCCACGGCAGCAGCCTCGCGGCCCCAGATCTGCCGAGTCGCACGTGTCGAATCAGGAGATGGCCCAGCAATCCCGCCATTCTTCACAACCACAAGACGATACCGGTCGCAGCTGGCTCGCTTCAGCTTTACCGAGTCGCATGTGGTAAACTTGGACCATTCGTGTTGCCATGATTGCATCGCATGTGTAACGACAAGCTTTCGCGAACATTACGGTCGATGTCGACTCCAATGCGAGTCCGGTATGTTTGGGTGAATGAGCGGTCCGAAGGTTCGCAACCACGCGGGTTGAGCGATGCCTGGATGGATGGGCGACGCGTGGGGGAATGGGCGACGCGTGGGTGGATGAGCAACGCGTGGGGGGATGAGCGTCAGGGGGGGGGGATGAGCGTTGGGGGGGGGGTGGATGAGCGTCGGGGGGAGGGGGGGGAGGGGGATGAGAGTGTGCATGGGTAGCTTTGAGATGGCGAGCAGTCACGCGGGAGGAAGACACTCCATTCATGAGCGTCGCTCTATCCCCGCCTACCTTTCCCCGCCCACTGTCGCCCCTCCTCCACCCAACTTGCCCGCTCCGCACCTCTTGCTGTCCGTTCCTTCTCTCCGGCAGTCACTTCCCTTGCCCCGTCTTTCCTTTGCATCCCTTTGTCTCTCCTCTGCTATTCCCCCTCCCTTTCTTGCCCCTCCCCGTTATCTTTCACTTTAGGGGATTCTCAATTGTGATTCCTCCATGTCCTCCCCTCCCCGATCCCCGCCCTCCCTATTCCCTATCCCCATCCCTATACCCCGGTCTCCCCCTTCCACTCTTCTCTCCGCCTTCCTGTCAGGCCAGAGCACGGCAGCACGGGGGAGGGGATGCGAGCGGCATGCATTGGGGGGGGGGGATGCGAGCGGCATGCATGGGGGGGGGGGATGCGAGCGGCATGCATGGGTGGGGGGGGATGCGAGCGGCACAGGTGGTGCAGGCAGGGAGAATAGGAGAGAAGCAGCGGCGGGAGAGCAGGCGCTGAGAGCGGAGCAGGAGGGGCTGGGAGCACCAAGAGGGAGGTGGGGGGTGGGAGAGAGAGCAGCGGCGGCAGCCGAGTGGGAACCAGCTGCACTTAAGAGACGTGGGTGGGCGGCGCAGGTGGGAAGGATTGCTGTGAATTACGGGGTGAATTGGGTGAGAAGAAGGGCGATATAGGCAGGTTGGATTGGGATGGAAAGGCAGGGGAGGGGGGAGAGGGAGGAGGGAGAATGGGGGATGGTATTCGTCTGGGAAGGATTGTGGAAACTGGCTGCAGGGGAAATGTGTGGAGTCACTGTGGTGCAAGGCGCTGCTGTCCATGGCAGGTGAGCGTAGCACAGCACACTTGAGCATGGTGTGACGTGGGGTGTTGCTGCCAGGCACTGGCAATGGGTGGGTTTCACAGGCACGCATCAGGTGGGCGCGAAAGGTGAGAGTTTAAGACGGGTTGAGGGGCCATGGGTGAAGGGCTCGTGGGTTAAAGGTGCCGTGAGGATGTGGAGGGGAGGGGGGGAGGGGGAGGGAAGGTGGGGGGAGGGGGGAGTGGATTTCAGATCTATGTTGGAAAAGTCGCCAGCCAGGGACAGCGTACAGCGTATATACGTAAACGTATATACGCTGTGCGCAATACGCACGTATATTCGTACGAAAAAATCCGGGTTGCCCGGCCAAAAAATAAAAAGAAAAAAATTCGCGCACGAAATTGGAAAATGCGTTTCGACACACATTGTGCGCACGAATTTTGTAAATGAGGCACCAAATTGTTCGCACATCCAAGAACAATTCGTCGACCCCACCAACACACAATTTTGGCAAGGGGACATTCAACACAACCGCGTTGCACCGTCCGTTACCCTGCGACTCCAGCTCAGCTACACGAATCTCCCCAACCAGCCTACCTCAACTCTCTCATCGAGGACAAAACCCGAAGTCCCTCCCAACCCTAAACATTCTCACCAGTCACCTCGTTCATTCTCTCTCTCCAGTTCCCTCGATCACCTCGCAGCTCTACGATGACGACCCCTACTGGCACTGGCACTCCCGCGAGTGCGTCTAGTGAGGTTCCTAGTGCCTTCTGACCGGAAAAAAAGTTTTACCTGCCCGGGCAGCGTATTTTTCACGTATTCCTAAGTCACCCATTCAGCGCATCCTGTATTATACGCAAGCGTATATACGCTTGCGTATAATACGCTGGGCGCGACTTTTCCAACATGGTTTCAGATGCATCAGCATCAGGTGACAAATGAAGTGTTTTTGCATCCTCCATGCCTTGCCCTCTCCGCACTTTTGACTCCCACCCCTCTCCAATCCGCATCCCACGTTGACCGCCCTCTCGCCTGCCTCGTGTCACCACCACAACATTTGGTGATGGGCATCTGTGTGACTGGCGCTGCTGAGCTTTGCTTTCTTCCTGTTCGGAAACGCCTATCCCTTGCCCGTACCCCAATCCCCCCTGTGGGCTCCCTCTGCCCGCCAGCTGCAGATGCTGGTTGCGTCGATAACGAGAGGGGTTGGGCGGACGGACTTGTGGCGAAGGCGTGCTGTAGGGTCATGTGGCAAGGGTGTGAGTGAGAGCTCGTGTGGCAAGGGTGTGGGAGGTCATGTGGCAAGGGTGTGAGAGGTTATGTGGTGAGGGTGTGAGAGAGTTTATGTGGTGAGGGTGTGAGAGAGGTTATGTGGTGAGGGTGTGAGAGACACGTGTTGAGACAACCTCTGATGGAGAAGGACTCGGTCTAAGGGAAGCAAAATCAACTTGAGGTCTAAAGCAGGGGTGTCCTGCTAACATTTGATCCTGGTAACTGTGTAGAATAGCATAGTATCTTCTATCAAGTTCCTTTAACATTCAATAGCAAGTAATTTCATGCTATAAATAGAGCTAAGGTTGCGAAAACAAGTGTACGGTATCAGAAAAGTATGCACTTCAAGCTGTTTCAGGCAGAAGCAGAAGAGTTTGATACTGGTGTGATGTGTTATTTCATGATTTAGACTTGGAGTGTCGTTTGTGACGATGAAGATAGTGGACTGATTTCGATTACCGTACGTGGTTTGTGTAATAACGGGTCTCTGCAAGACTGAAACTGTTTAGGGCCAGGTGATGCAACTGATCAACGTCCGCGCGGTAACAGTTGCAAATCACGTGGTCGCAATCGCTCGTAATGATGACATGCCTCAAGGTCAAGCCAGCAGTGCCGATGATTGGCTGGCTAGACGAGCTTACCTCATCAAATTCCAGCAGGGCCAGGATTCGTATGGAGCCTCCTCAGACGGGGAAAAAGATCAACGGTTTCATTCCATAGGGAACGGTTGGCGTGGTTGGGGTGCTTTGCCTTGCGGGTGACAGTTCAGTTCAGCAACCTTCTCCCCTTTTGGAGGAAAATGCCCGTTGTGCTGTACACAACAACTGCGTCTTGTGCCTGGGCGGGCACCAGGTTCGTTTGCAGTTCTTGCTCGAAAACGATTCCAGACGGTGCACAGCGGTTTTCAAGGTTCACCGTTTTGTACCGTAACGCAACATGAGTAACCGCACAAAACGAGCAAGGAACGAACGCGCTGCTGGACCCAAGTACAACAGTGGGGGTGGGCTTCTCCCGTCTTGGCAGACGGCCTAACGGGTGTTTCTCCTTTGTCTGTCTTAGCTAAAGCATTTTAAATACAACTCATCATCACTTCTGCAGTGCAGAACCCAGTCCGCACCTCATCATTGCCTAGTCCGTCGTCTTGGGTTCGAGAGATCGGGTTTGTATGTAAAGGGCGGTCCAAAGGGTACGTCCGAATGGGGTTGAAAAAGGTTTGTACCTGATTTACATCGCGGAAAAGGTTTTGGCTCAAATTCGAGTTTAAGTCTGAAGGTTGCAGGGAAGTTGCAGAAACGTTGCAGAAAGTATCCGAAAAGCTCTGAGTGAAAAATGGAACATGCACCAATTTCGGATACATGTGGCTTCCGAGCCGCGCATGTTGGATACGTGGGGTACCCGAGGCGCGAATTGTGGATACGTGGGTTACCCGAGCCGCGAATTTATTGCATCATTTTCGAATCATCTTCACCGAACAGCACACCTGGTCACGACCAAATCTCTTGAGTCCCCCGTGCTGGTGTACGATTGAGGAACACTGCAGCCCGAATCAGGTGGGCATTGTCGAACGTTGCGAGCACAGTAACTGGGATACAAAATAAAACGAGGCTCGCGAAAAAACAAGCCAGAATCGTAACTGGCAGCTGGCACACAGTTCCATGTCACACCCAAAGTGTTCAGATTCTGTGCAAGTGACGTGGCTTCTCCGAACCACAGGTAACCGGAATTGAGCTATCCTCACGATTTTTTAATGACCAATTACTGGTGTGGTCTAACCTAAACCAGAAATCTACGGCATCCGTGACGACACATCATCACACATTGGAGCTCTAGAAGCATCACACTACGAGTGTATCTCTCCCTAAACCGCTAGTTGCCCAGCTGATGTTCACACATCTTGCTCAGGTTATTGTTCCATTTCGACCCACCTCGTGTCTCTGCCGTCCCCTCAGCAAGCGTATACCGTAGAACGTACGTCTTACGTTGTGTATCTAATAAACTAGTGTATGAAGTATCAATCCTTCAACATCTGCCCAGATCTACCGTCTCATCCTTTCATTTCTTTACCCTTTTTTTCTACCTCCCGTCCCATATACAGCTCGTCGCCTTGCTCAACTCACTCGGAAGACGTTCTGCGCGCGAATCGCCGCGGACTCAGCACCCGTCAACCTACGGACGCAGCGACGAAAAGCTCGTTGCCCGGCTGCGGAAGCGCCTTGTTCGGCGCGGAAAGCGCCGGTGTGTGTACTAAACACGTTCAGCTGCATACTGAAATTTGTAAGCATACTGAATCATGTGACGCCCATCACTCCTGTTCTTATCCTCACTCTTTCATTTCTTCTCACGTTTTAGGCTTCTTCTCTTCTCGATTTGGTTCATTTCTTCCCATAATGAATGCAGATCTATTTCCTCCCATTTCAAATTGCACGCCTGTGCCACCTTTAACAGGTTCGTTGTTGTTTTCCTGTGCAGCCTCCCACTACACAAATCGTCTCTACGCTCTCTGCATGAGAGAGAAGGTGTGGTAGTCGCGCGAAGGTCTCTCTCTGCCTCTGATAAGAACCATGCGCGTTTTTAACCCATGTTGTCTGGAATGTAGGCTTTAACGATAACGTTTTCATGTTTGTTGTTCTTAGTCATCGTGTTTCAGGTTTAATATTCATGTGCAGGGTTAATGGAAGTCACGAGATGTTAATTTTCATATGCAGGGGGGTATCAAGATCCAGGCCCTGTGAAGCACATTGACGGCAATATTATCTATCTACGTCAAGGCCCTGGGTGATAAGTCACTAAGGTGGGGAACAAGCATATGACTAACCAAGGTCTAACATTATGTCGTCTTTGTGTTTGCAGGCTTTAAAACGAAGCATGATTTCGCCCTGTGTGACTACATGTAGAACCAGACGCTTAGTGATTGTTGGTTTTAGGTGTTTCGTGTTGACTAAATGTGTATACATCATATGTATGGGGACGTCCATAATATTGTAGATTACCTCCAACCCCACCTGTAACAAATAATCCTTGAAACGAATGGTCCGCTTGTACTGTTCAGACAAATTCTCGGCCAGTAGTATTCAATTTTCGCACACGCGAAGTCTTGTCTGATTGGTCCACGTGGCAAGCTGGCGTTCACATATTGAGAATGACACCTGGCAGAAATATCTTTGCTTACGTGGCAAAATATCTTCGCGAACGTACCGACGTACGTACACTTCGAACTCCAAACTGTACGCATGCCACGTGGCAGGTCGTGAAACTGCATACATGTGATTGAAATGTATCCGACGAGTGTACGCGAAATTGCGGAACTGTTGCTGGAATGCACCTTTCTTGCAACTTTCCTGCAACTTTTTGTCAACTGTCCAGTGACTCGCATTTCTGCAACTGTTGTCCATCACTGCGAAGTTGCAAAACCAAAGTATCCGCCGAGTTACTTTTCTGCAACTTTCCTGCAGCCTACTGGCAAGTCCTTTTTCGCTCTAGTAGAGCGGTCTATTAAAAAAAGCCAGATGGTTGGGTAGGGTCTTCTGCGAGTACTGTAAATGAGGATTGACCCGGCGATCTGCCAGGGGACCTTCGGTGTGTACGTGTACATGTGGGACGGAACCCACACTGCAAGGCGAAGAAGGTCGACGTCACGTGCTGTACCCCGCGAGGACCACGGGAGTTCGTTCGCACGAAGCCAGGATACTGGCATGATTCGCATCGAAGCACTGATGATGGCAGACAATCATACAGCATTCCTCCCACTTCTCTCTCGAAACCTCTTCTGCTAGTCTTGACACCTGCGTGCCACCATCTTGCAACCCAAACTTCTCCTCGTTCGCAACATGTTGCTCGTGCTACTGCTCGTAGCGAGGTGGCCGGTGAATTGTCCCTATTGGGTGCGTCGCGCTGGTTACGAGCACGGCGGGATTCTTCACCTGAGCATCATCGCCGCCGATACCATTCGCGAGCGGCTGTGACCATTAAAAGCCGCCAATGCCATGTTCGCATATTTGACGAGACGGCGGAGGCCATGACCACCCCTGTACAGCGATAATCAGCGATGATTAAAAAAACTTCGTAAAATTCGAATTTCAAGCTCCGCGCAAGCTCTTAGACATTATCTTGCCGCACCGGTCGTTATTGGGTAGCTGGAGTCGCCACCATGCCACATTCTTCGCCGGAAACGGCGACCAGCTCGCCGCCGTCGCAATCGTTGTCGCTCACCATGAAGCCGTGGTCCCCCGGGGTGAGCGCCTCGACTAACCTCTCCCCCCTGCCTGTAGTCCTCTAACAACTTACTAAATCTTAACGTAGGACGCATTTAATAGCGCCTCCCCACCCTCTCGTGTCACGGAGAGCCCAGCCTCGGTAGACCATCCGAAATGACCCAGGTCGGACCTGACAGACTAGTCCTGGTTGCATGGCATTTTCTCGGGGCCTCATCGTGGAAACACCTGGTTCTTGCACCAAGTGCAAGAACCTGCTCAAACAGCCTCACTCGCATTCTGTTATTGACATTCATGCCTATCCGTGCTTGCCTCCGCGTCTTTTGCTCATCGCGATGGCAGGAGGACGCGGTTCTGTTGCAACATGCGCTGCATTACGGCACGAAGCAGTGGGGCGAGCTGGGGAGGAGCGGTCAGCTCAAGAGGAACAACAAGTCGTGCTGTAACCGTTACATCTTCCTCAAAAGGTAACCCGAACCCCAACATTTTGTTCAAACTCCGGCATTTGAAGATGACGAACGAATTGGTTTCTGAAACCCTCTCCTGGGACCGTGTCTTGATGGCAGGAAGTTCGTTCAACGCTTTCAACAGAACCTCCTGAGGACGCACCTGAGACGCACTCTACACATTGCGATGGACGGCCACAGTCACCACCAAGAGAATCAGCAGCAGCAGCAGCGCCGCCAGGACGGTGCAGTTTCACCCGAGTCGCAGTTGCCCGCTCTTTCTTTTGGCGGACTGTCGTATGAGGAATGCAGGAGCGTGTTCCTCTCACCCAACGCCCGCGGCTCAACCGACCCTCCTCTGTCCTCTCTCTGGATCCCTCCCACCGCCTCTCACGCCGCCGTCCTCACTGCTGCTGCTGCCGCCAATGCTCCCTTCTCCATGTCGTCTTTCTCAGCTGCCACTTCTCCCCCCAAGGTTGCTGCTCTCCCAAGTTTCACTGCCGTTCCCAATGCCGCCGCTCTCTCAGATAACCCTGTGGTGACCAACACAGCAACATTCGCCAGGGCAGCAGCTCTCAGCCTGCCGATGAAGAGAGCACGGGAGGAGTTGGGCACTCTTGCGACTGACCAGCCCCTTGCGACTGACCAGGCCCTCCTGTTGAGTGCATACCGGGATGCACTTGGGCTGCCTCGTCGCGTGGCGCAGCGGCCTCAGTCCTTACAAGAGCTGCTTCACCTGCACGGCGAGAGGCGCTGGCAGCAGCGAGCCCTGTGGCCTGCCGTGGGGTCGGAGAGAGCCTGGTTTGCCCGTCTGCTGCCGGAGGAGCGTCACCAGCAGCAAAGGGAGAGGAGCGTGGTGCAGCGGGTGGAATGGCTGCGCGTTGGGTCGGAGGGTGCCCTTCCAGACGACGTGCTGCTGGGATTCAGCAGCGAGGAACCGCCCTTCATGCAACGTGCTGCTCTCTCTGCTCCTCCGCCCACCCAGCCACACGAAGCGCTTCCTGCGCCAATGCTCCAACTCTCCGCTCTGCCTGGCTCCGCTCCCCGCTTTGGTGATGTCACCCCTTGCTGTGGAGAGCTGGCTCCGTGCATTGGAGGTGCAGCCTCTGCTGACGCCCATGCTGCTGTGCAGCAGCTGAACCAGTCTGTTGACTCATGCAGCCACGTGCACGCACACGACAGCGACCCTGACTTGCACACGCATGACAACGGCTACCCGCAAGACAGCAAGAGCGACGTGCATGCGCGTGACAGCAGCAACCGCGGCATTCCAGTGCACGACAACAGCCATGTGCACGACAACAGCCATGTGCACGACAACAGCCATGTGCACGACAACAGCCATGTGCACGACAACAGCCATGTGCACGACAACAGCCATGTGCACGACAACAGCCATGTGCACGACAACAGCCATGTGCACGACAACAGCCATGTGCACGACAACAGCCATGTGCACGACAACAGCCATGTGCACGACAACAGCCATGTGCACGACAACAGCCATGTGCACGACAACAGCCATGTGCACGACAACAGCCATGTGCACGACAACAGCCATGTGCACGACAACAGCCATGTGCACGACAACAGCCATGTGCACGACAACAGCCATGTGCACGACAACAGCCAGCACGACAGCAGCCAGCACGACAGCAGCCAGCACGACAGCAGCCAGCACGACAGCAGCCAGCACGACAGCAGCCAGCACGACAGCAGCCAGCACGACAGCAGCCAGCACGACAGCAGCCAGCACGACAGCAGCCAGCACGACAGCAGCCAGCACGACAGCAGCCAGCACGACAGCAGCCAGCACGACAGCAGCCAGCACGACAGCAGCCAGCACGACAGCAGCCAGCACGACAGCAGCCAGCACGACAGCAGCCAGCACGACAGCAGCCAGCATGACAGCAGCCAGCACGACAGCAGCCAGCACGACAGCAGCCAGCACGACAGCAGCCAGCCCGACAGCAGCCAGCACGACAGCAGCCAGCACGACAGCAGCCAGCACGACAGCAGCCAGCACGACAGCAGCCAGCACGACAGCAGCCAGCACGACAGCAAGAGCGAGAGCCTCTTTCTCGACGCCCCCGTGTCACACGTGTGCCTCGCTGAACCTGCCCCCACCGTGCCGTTGGCAGGTGAGAGCTTGCCACCCCCACGTGGTGGGGTGGAGCAGAGAGGAATGTGCGAGGGAGTTGTACATTCACACAGGGATCATGGGCAGTACCTGAGCAGTCCCCAGCAGCAGCACCTGAGCAGTCCCCAGCAGCAGCACCTGGCCGGTCATCACGAGGGTCGGCAGCTTGTGTGTGTTCCCTCGTTGTCATCGCAGCAGCCACTGCCACTGCCTTTTTCACAACCACTTCTGCCGCCAGTGCCTGTGCTGTCGGGCTTTGGCAATAACAGACCTCAGCATCCCATGCCTCCTCCTGCCCTTCCACACCTGCAGCCTCATGTGATTGCCTCGCCAGTTCCCGTAAAGCCAGTGGCTGGTCCCTGTTTCAATGAGGGTGATGCCCTGGGAGGTGATTCCGCTTCCTGGGATGGCTCGTTCCTGTCAGGACTCAACTCGGATGTGCCTTCCGCGAGCAGTCTGCTTGGGTTCGGAGAAACAGCTGATACGAAGGTGGAGGAGGGCTGGAATATGGACTTGCCTGGTGACGGCACTGTACATGATGCGACCTACACCTTTCCAGATACGGCCATGCTTTCTCATGGGATATATCCAACACAATTTATACTCCCTCCGGTGCTGTCGTCCCCACATACACTGCCCCAAGTTCACAGGGGCCATTCTGGCCAAGCTCCTGAGGTTGCACTGGAGTTTGCCAATGCTATGCTGCCCAGCTTTCATCCCAAATACTTGGAGAAAAAATGATGCTAACTTGTATTGTGTGTTGATTTGTGATTTGTTAGATAGTGTTGATTTGTGATTTGTGAAATTTAGTGCAATGTGTACAGTTGTGATTTGTGATTTTTGAACGGAATCATCAACCACAGTATATTGAGATAAATGCCCTTCTAGCGGTGTATGTTATTGAGGTCGGTATCCTCGAAACCCTACCCAAACTTAAGAAAGTGGGTACGGGCCGTTGTGAAACGCACAATATCGCACTTCACCGTAATATAGTGAATCCGCATAACACGCGTTGAGGTCTGGCGGAATTCCCAGTACCACTGCTCGCCAGGTTGCCAGCATCACCAACCAACCAGCAACACAAGCAGGGGAGGTTGCTAGAAACCCTAGACGAATTCCCAATTTGCGCTCAAGCTCTTCCCCTCAACCGTCCCACCATAGCCTACCGAGCTGATCGCCACTCCTTTTTGTCGCAGGAGGAACCAACACTGCAATCTTATTGCCATGAGTTATCGACGTTCCTGATCGATGGCGTCACTGCTACGCATCGCCGCATTTCACGGTGTGGCATCTCATACGTGCTGCACTGTTAAAGCCGCGGCGCTGTGTGAAGCCAAACTTGCCGATGCTCGGCGCGGCGTCTGTGGGTACTCCATCACGAGAAGAAATGGCGGTGGCGTCGACGGTGATATTTTCTGGAAGCGCGGAAGACGCGACGTAGTGACGCGCACCACGCTCGCGTCGGGTTCAGCCGACTCCAATCCGCCAGATCTCGAGACGGCGAGGGACACCCCGCTGGGCGGCGCGGGTGGCGACGGAACACAAGATCTGCCGTCGCCGTCGCCGCCGCCGCCGCTGCAGTCGGAATCGATTCTTTTCATCGGCAAGGTCTGGTGAGCCTGTCGAGGGTCTAGTGCTCCATGTTTAAAGGCGCTGACTACTTTTGGAAAACATTACGTTGAGATACTTGATTCTCTCTTCGCTCAACTTCGCCAGCTTTCCTTCCGATGTCCGCTTCTGCTTTTGCTCTCCCCGCTCATCCCCTCATCGCCTCACCTGTCCTTTCCCCTTATTGCGCCGGTTTCATTGTCGCCCTTCCGTTCCTTTTGCCTTTCTCTAGACTCCTCCCCGTCTCCTCGCGTGTCTCCCCTCCCCTTCCCGTCTCTCCTCTCGCTCCCTTCGCGCCTACCCCTTCCCCCGCCGAGATGCCTGCAGGCCGGAGCACGGCAGCACGGCAGCGGGGGTGCGCACGGCGCAGCTACTGCGCGTCCTGGCGGGGGAAACCGGCGGAGGTGGGGGCAGCGCGGGCGAGGGGCGCGCGAATCGACTGCACTTCATGAGGTAACTCTGGCGGAGGGAGGGGAGGTGGGGCGAGGCGGGTGGGATGGGGCCGAGCGGGTGGGATGGTGCGGAGCGGGTGGGATGGGATGGGGCGAGGCGGGTGGGATGGGACGAGGGGGGTGGGATGGGGGGTGGAGTTGGGGGTATGGCAAGAGATGTTTCGGGTTTGCTGTTGGCATCTCTCTCCACCTCCCGCCCCTCGTCCCTCGCCCCTCGCCCCTCGCCCCTCGCCCCTCGCCCCTCGCCCCTCGCCCCACCTTCTCCCCTACCGTCCTTGCTATCCTTCATCTTCCTCTGCTGCTCTCTCGCACCCCGGTTTCTCTTTCTCTTCTCTCTGTTCCTTATTCCTTATATATATATATATATATATATATATATATATATATATATATATATATATATATATATATATATATATATATATATATATATATATATATATATATATATATATATATATATATATATATATATATATATATATATATATATATATATATATATATATATATATATATATATGTATGTATATCGCACCCCGGTTTTTTTTAAAATTTATGCTGGATTTCGCTAGGATATAAGCTCTGTCTGCCCTCTCTGCTCTCTCTCCCGCTCCTTCCCACCTCCCGCCCCTCGCCCCTCCCCCCCACACCCCCCCCCCCCCCCCCCGTCTTCTCCCCTACCGTCCTTGCTATCCTTCATCTTTCTCTGCTGCTCGCATCCCGGTTTCTCTCCCTGTTCTCTCTGTTCCTTTGTTGTTGTTGTTGTTGCTGCTGTTGTTGTTGCTGCTGTTGTTGTTGTTGTTGTTGTTGTTGTTGTTGTTGTCGTTGTCGTCGTCGTCGTCGTCGTCGTCGTTGTCGTTGTCGTTGTCGTTGTCGTTGTTGTTGTTGTTGTTGTTGTTTTTGTTTGTTTGTTTGTTTGTTTGTTTGTTTGTTTTTTTTATATATATAAATATTATATTCTTGATTTCGCTAGAATATAAGCTCTCTCTGCCCTCTCTGCTCTCTCTCCCGCTCCTTCCCACCTCCCTCACCTCTCTGCTCTCTCTCCCCTCCCCACCTCGCTCAAATCTCTTCTCTTTCTCCGCTCTCTCCTCTGTCTGCTCCTCTCCCCCCTCTCTCCCCTTTCTCCCCTCTCTCCTCTGTCTGCTCTCTCCTCTCCCCTTCTCACCTCTCTCCCGTCTCTCCCTTTTCTCCCGTCTCTCTCCTCTCCCCCTCTCCCCTCTCCCCCCTTTCTCCCCTCTCTCCCCTCCCTGCCGTCTCTGCCCTCGCCACCCCGCGCGGTGCCCACGGCGCGGCGTGCATCAGCCCGGCGCGGAGAAACGTGTATTCGCAGGAGCTGGAGGCAGCAGGCATCGCCACGTACCAGTGTGCGCCCAACAGGTGGGACAGCCTGTTACTCCACAATTCCTGAATTTTTCATCTCATGTTGCTCTCCTCTCTCCAGCATGCCTCTCTACTCTTCTCCTCGCTCCTCCACTAATCCCTCCCTTCGCCCCTAGCTCCCCTCACCCCTTTTCCTTCCGTGCTTTCGTTCGTGCTTGCTACGCCCTCCCCACTCTCCGCCTTCCCTCCCCCTGCCCGCCCCTCCCCCCTCCCCAATCTCTTCCGCCCTCGTCCGCCTTCCCCTCCCTCCCCCCCGTACGGGCAGGGCAGCTTGTCTTGAGTCGTCTCAAAACACGCTCGTCCGCCTTCCCTTCCCCTCCGCGCTCCCCTCCCCCCCGTACGGGCAGGGCGGCGGAGTTCCACGAGGTGCTAGACGCCGTGCAGCCCACCATTGCCGTCTTTGACAGGTCAGCATCTGTCGCTATGCCACGTCAGCGTTCGTGGTCGACAGGCCAGAAGGACAGGAGAGGGGCGGCGGGGCCGCGGAGGGGGGGGTGGGGTGGGGAGGGGGAGGGGGAGGGGGAGGGGGAGGGGAAGTGGGAGGGGGAGGGTGGAGGGGGAACTTAGGGGCTAGGGTTGGATTGGGTCGGGTAAGGGGAGTGGCAGCACTTGCACTGGCCGTCTCACCTGTGCCACCTGTGGCCCTCTCACGCGCTCCCTCACTCCTGCTATCGTTCTCCGCGTCCCCCCCAATCCCCCCTTGCCCCCCTGCAATCGCCTCTTTCCTGCTCCACCTTTGCTCGCTTTCGATCTGCTTCCGCTCCCTCCCCATCCATCACCCTTCCTCTAATCTCCTTTCCTTCTACCGCCCCCCCCCTCCCCCTCCCCCTCCCCCTCCCCCGCTTTCCAATTCCCCCTTGCCCCCTTGTAATCGCCTCTTTCCTGCTCCGCCTGTGCTCCCTTCCCACCTTCTTCCACTCCCTCTCCCATCCTTCACCCCCAATATTATCTCCTTCCCTTTTACCCCACTCAACCTCCCCCTCCTCCTTCCCTTCCCCTATCCCGCCCCCACCCCCCCTCCGTCGCTCTCCCCCCTTCCCCCTCCCCTCTCCCTCTCCCTATCCCGCCCCCAACCCCCCTTCCCCTTCCCCCTCCCCCCGTCCCCCCCCCTCCCCCCGCCATGCTGCGCAGGTTCACGAGTGAGGAGGCGTTTTCCTTCCGCGTGAGGCAGCGCTGCCCCGCCTGCCTGCTCGTGCTCGACACGCAGGACCTGCACTTCCTCCGGGTGGGTGACATGCGGTGCCATGTGGTGGCGTGGGGTGGCGTGTGGTGGCGTGGGGTGGCGTGGGGTGACATGGGGTGACATGGGGTGCCATGGGTTGCCATGGGTTGACATGGGATATTATGGGATAACATGGGGTTTCATCCCATGCTTTTACCTCTCCTCCTGCCCCATCCCATCCGTTTCCATTCCATCCCATCCCATCCCTTCTTATCCCATCCCATCCCATCCCATCCCATCCCATCCCATCCCATCCCATCCCATCCCATCCCATCCCATGCCATTTCATCCCACCCCACCCCATGTCACCCCACCCCACCCGATCCCACCCCATCCCATCCCATCCCATCCCATCCTCTTTCCTCCCCGGGCAGGCAGGCGGGGCGGCAGCAGGTGGTATCTGAGGGGGGCTCTATCAGGGACGCGCTACACCACCACGTACCCGATACAAGCAGCAGGGAGCTGCTGCGCGAGCTGGCGTCCATGCACCGCTGCGACCTCACTCTGGTCCGTGGCCCCTCTTCCCCTCCATCTGCCCCTCCACTCTTCCCCCACCCTTCTGTCCCAACCCAACCCTCTACCCGCACCCCACCCTCTGCCCCCATCCAACTCTCTGCCCCCACCCAATCCTCTGCCCCCACAATCTGTGCCAACCTTTTTCCCTATCCCTCTGCCCCGCCTCACCCTCTGCCCCCACCCTCTGAGCTCGCGCCAGCGTTGTTTTTAGTTTCTTTGTCTTCTGGCCATGCTGCTTGCTGGTCCATATTCGTGCTTTCCAATCCCTTTCCTCCCGTCCCGTTTGCAGTTGACTCTGACACATGCTCACATGCTCTTGTTCACTGTGCCTCCCACCTTCTCAACCCGCTCTTTCTTCCCTTCCATACACTTCCGCCTCCCTCCCTCCCTCCCTCCCCCTCCCTCTCTCCCTCCCTCCCTTCCCTCCCTCCCTCCCGCCCTCTCTCTCCCTCCCTCTCTCCCTCCCTCCCTTCCCTCCCTCCCTTCCCGCCCTCCTTCCCTCCCTCCCTCCCTCCCTCCCTTCCCTCCCTCCCTCCCTCCCTCCCTCCCTCCCTCCCTCCCTCCCTCCCTCCCTCCCTCCCTCCCTCCCTCCCTCCCTCCCTCCCTCCCTCCCTCTCTCCCTCCCTCCCCTCCCTCCCTCCCTTCCCGCCCTCTCTCCCTCCCTCCCTCCCTCCCTCCCTCCCTCCCTTCCCGCCCTCTCTCCCTCCCTCCCTCCCTCCCTCCCTCCCTCCCTCCCTCCCTCCCTCCCTCCCTTCCCTCCCTCCCTCCCTCCCTCCCTCCCTCTCTCCCTCCCTCCCTTCCCTCCCTCCCTTCCCGCCCTCTCTCCCTCCCTCTCTCCCTCCCTCCCTTCCCTCCCTACCTTCCCTCCCTCCCTCCCTCCCTCCCTCCCTCCCTCCCTCCCTCCCTCCCTCCCTCCCTCCCTCCCTCCCTCCCTCCCTCCCTCCCTCCCTCCCTCCCTCTCTCCCTCCCTCTCTCCCTCCCTCCCTCCCTCCCTCCCTTCCCTCCCTCCCTCCCTCCCTCCCTCCCTCCCTCCCTCCCTCCCTCCCTCCCTCCCTCCCTCCCTCCCTCCCTCCCTCCCTCCCTCCCTCCCTCCCTCCCTCCCTCCCTCCCTCCCTCCCTCCCTCCCTCTCTCCCTCCCTCCCGTCTTGTCTCCCTCTCTCCCTCTCTCCCTCTCTCCCTCTCTCCCTCTCTCCCTCTCTCCCTCTCTCCCTCTCTCCCTCTCTCCCTCTCTCCCCCTTGTCTCCCTCCCTCCCTCCCGCCCGTCTTGTCTCCCTCGTCCCCATCAGCTGTGTTCAGAGGCGGAGCGCGCTCTCCTCACGCGCTGCTACGCCTTCCCCCCGCACAAGCTCGCCCTCGCCTCTTTCTTCTATGATGCTCCCCAGGCAGTGACAGGTGGGGCAATGACAGGTGGGGCCGTGGGAGGTGGGGCAATGACAGGTGGGGCCGTGGGAGGTGGGGCAATGACAGGTGGGGCCGTGGGAGGTGGGGCAATGGGAGGTGCACCTGCAATGGCTGCGCCTGCAATGGCTGCAGGGCGCACGCACGGCACTGTTCTGTTGTTGCTCGTGAGAATGCTCAGAGTCGACCCTTGTTTGTTCGAGCCACTCACCTCTTATTCCGCCTCCCCCCCCTCCCTCCTCTCCTCCCCCCATCCCGTCACCACCACATGCAGCTGTGCTCCCAGCTCTTCCTCTCTGTGTGCCTCCCCGTTTTTTTTCCCGCCCCACCCCGCCCCACCCTAACCCCCCGGATCGCAGATTCCACCTCCCCCGGTGCCGCCCCCCGCGCTGCCTGCCTTTGAGCAGCGGCAGCACTGTGTGGTGCTGGGCACGTTCCGCCACGCGCCCAACGTGGATGCTGTCTCCTGGCTCGCCTCCCACATCTGGCCTCTCATCCGCGCCCAGGTCCGCCCATGGCTCACTCGCTCACTCTGTCACTGTGACTCGTCAGATCTTGCACAGCTCCCTGTTTCCTCCTCCCCTCCCCGCTCCCCACTTGACTTCTTCTGGTCGTTTCGTCGTTCCTCCTCTTCCTCACTCTGCCATGTACCTCTCTCTCCCCAAACCCCAACACCGCCACCTCCTCTACCCTCTCATGATATGCGCAGCTACCAATGGCAGAGTGCCACGTGTACGGCTCCTACGTCACAGCAGCCATCTCGTCCCTGCACAACCCCTCCTCTGGCTTCATCATTCGCGGCCATGCCCCCTCGCTGGACATGCTCGCCTCCTACCGTGGTCAGCACCCCCCCCCCCCCTTTCCCCTCCCTCCCCATCCATCTGTTATCGCACCCATCCATTTCGCACCTCACCATTCTCAGCTCAGCTCGTCAGCCACCTGCATGGTCATGCTCGGTCTATATTTTTGCCTGCCCTCGCCCTCCGCCTCCCCCTCCCCTCGCCTCCGCCTCTCCCTCCCCTCCCCTCCGTCTCCCCCTCCCCTCCCCCCTTTTTTCCGCCTTCCCCTCCCCCCCCCTTCCGCCTTCTCCTCCCCTCCCCTCCGTCTCCCCCTCCCCCCCCCTTCTGCCTTCCCCTCCCCCCCCCCCTTCCGCCCTCCCCTCCCCTCCCCTCCCCTCCCCTCCCCTCCCCTCCCCTCCCCTCCCCTCCCCTCCCCTCCCCTCCCCTCCCCTCCCCTCCCCCTTCCCCCTCCCCTCCCCTCCCCTCCCCCTTTCCTTTCCTCCCCTTCCCTCCCTCCCCTCCTCTCCCTGTCCCTCCCCTCTTCCACCTGTCCTCTCCCTCATACCCTCCTTCCCCCGCCCCTGTGCAGTGCTGCTAGCGCCACTGCGCTACGGGGCGGGCATAAAGGGCAAGATCCTCGACAGCTGGCGCCACGCCACTCCCGTCGTCACCACGCCCATCGGTGCTGAGGGCATGGGCGGTGGGGGGGAAGGGTTGGGGGAGGAAGAGCCAGGGGAGGGGGACAAGTGGGTGGCAGAGGGGGCGGGAGAGGGGGGCAGGGGGCAGCAGTGGGGGGGGCTGTGTGGGGCAGGGGATGCAGAGGCGTTTGCAGCGGATGCAGTGCGGCTCTACAGTGACCCTCTGCTCTGGGCCTCGTGTCAATCCACGGTGTGATGCCTGCCCTGCACGACCTCCCTTGCACTGCCTCCCTGTCCCACCCTTGCATTCCCCTCTTACTGCACTAGCCATTCTCCCCTCACCTCACTACCCCACCGGGCTGCCTTGGCCTCCATCCATCAAGCAGCTTCCTGCCCACCCGCTGCCTGTCTGTCCTCTCGTTTCTGTTCCCGCTGTGACCTCCCAAGGCTGTCGCTGCGATTGCTCAATGCTGTGGTTCGGACCTTTAGGTTCTGTTCTTTTTCCATGCGTTCACAACACCATCAATGGCTGTTCCTCAAGCTTTTACCCCCTGTGTGCCCCATGCTCCCCTCCCTCGCGTGCGCCTCTCACCCACAGGGCTGCACCATCCTGCAGCAGCAGTTTGGCATGCTCACCAACGCACCCGCGCTGCTTGCCACTCTGTCTGCTGCCAAGACAAACATGCGTGATAACAGAATGCGTGACTACACTGGGGTGAGTGCGAATCTAAATGAGTTTCATGTTGACCAACCACAGGTTACTGTAGCAAACCAGTGTGCAAGCTAGCACACGATGAGAACAGGCTGGCAGTTATGCCGGTTGTGACAACATCCAAGATTGGCCGTATCATTCCAGTATGTTATTCTGTCTGACCCTTGCCAATCTGCAACTGCAGGCCATCTTGTGGCATGACAGCAACAGGGCGACCGAATATTTTTCGCGGTGGATTGAGCTGAAAGAAAAGGGTGCAAGATCACCAGTCTGAATTGCTAGACCGCCTGCACGTCCTGCTTGTATGGTATTTGCCGTGGATTTGGAAAGACCTGCGTGACAGTCATGGTGACGCACACCTAGCACTGTCATTTAGTACTAACATGATGGCTGGGGTAATGTATGCATGCATCGGCTCAGCTAATTCCCCAGAAGAAAGATGGAGTGAAACTCTCTACAGTTGCAATGTAGCTATTTGGGCTACATGGGCAACCGAAGGTTGGTTGGTACACACGTCAACCTGATGGGACACATCATGCCATCAAGTGAATCCCCTTCAGAGACTCGTAAGTCATGTTGACGGCTGTGCTTTTCAGAAAAACCCAGCTCTTGTATTACACCGCATGACATCAAAAACGAGGAAGCGTGCCCAGATATTCCACCAGATAATCTTTGTGGCTGTCGTTCAATCTTGGAAAATCTCAGAAAGAACGTTCTGGTCTCGATTCCCATAGTTCAGGAGAATGTCACATGAGATGGGGTCGGTCAAGTTAGTTGGTGCATTGTGACCACAACACTTCCACGGTTGTTGGGATCCCACGTCATTAAGCCGTGGCAGCTTTGTGTTGACAGCAACGCAGCGCGCAAATCTCCCAAATGCAAGGGAGGCACATGGGCTTGTCGTTGGAATGATGCGATCACATGCTACCGTCTCATCCCCCACGAATCGCGAGTCGGATTCCCCGTGGGGTGGGTCTAGTGGCTACTTCCAGGTTACTGCAGAATTTTCACCCTGTAAATCAGACTCTGAAACGCTTTGAAACCCTCTAAACCGTATAAGACCTGAGGTAATTGCGAGTGGAGTGAAAGGCCCCAGCCAGCTGTCGGTCAGTCACTAGCAGCACGGGACGGGAACAGGGCAGAAACGGAGGAAAGCAGAGCAGACCAGCATCGAGCAGAGCAGAACACGAGTTGGATCGCTCGAGGAAACGGAACCCAACAGAACGGTATGAGAGCGATAGAAAGTAGAAGAAAATGAATCTTTCGCGGTGACTCGCAACTGTGCTTGTTCCTTGCTCGAAAGCGCGGGGGAAGCATTTGGTTGTGGACCATGGCCCACCCACACTTATCGTGCGTTTCATGCACGACACGACACGACACTGAAGGGGAAAACCGGATGCGTTTCGTTTACGGGAAAGGGTAAGTAGCGGCAGCATTGCACAGTAAAATGGGCGAATAGCGCCGACCCGTGCGTATCCCCCCGCACGTCGGCTCCGCGCAAGATGACAAAGCCGTTTCCGTCACCCGTGGCCCACTGCCACCCACGCGAGCAGCAGGCCCCACCCGCCATCGCCCGGCACGGACCGCCTCTGCCGTACCGCCTAGCATCATCATGCGGACGACGCTCGCGCTGGACCACCCAGGCAGCCGTGCGCTGCTCGCGGCGGCCGCTGGGCCCCAGCCTGCGCGCTGTCGATTGCGCCGGTCGTTACATCTCTGCCGCATGCGCCTCAAGTCCTGTAACTCGCCGTTGCTCGTCACAGCCAAGGCACGGACGCAGCGCAGAGCAGCGCAGAGCAGCGCGAGGAGAGGCGGACGTTAGAGAGGTCCCACGGCCTGCCACTCCACTCCACAGTACTCACGGCTCGCTCCTTGCATTCTTCCGCTCACACCTCCCCTACAATTAGTGCCACAGACCTCATTATCTTCGTGATTTCCAAGTCAAGAACAGCGCTCGTGCAAATCGGAGCTAGCTCACATACTTCCGGCATAGCATTACGGTAGTCCTGCCAAATCCCGCCCAGTCCCACCACCACCGCGCAGCCCTGCGTCGCGGATCGCATTCGCGAAAAGGTCCGCCTTCAATATGCGAGCGTCGCACGTTCGCGACATCATGCCGAGACCGCACGCGGGCGTCGCCGCAATGGAGGTAGTCGTGGAAAACCCCTGCCCCATTTCCGCACCAGCGGACGTCGGTCACCGCGCGCGCGCGCCGCAGCTCCGCCAGCGGGCACCCGCGGAATTATCGGCGGACTCCGAGCCACGCCCCGCCCGCGCGGGCGCTGGCAGGAGAGCGGCGAATGCGGCGCGCTCACGGCAATACTTGGCGCGATGGTCCCCCGAGGTAGGCTCTCTCGAGCCCCTCCGTTCCTCGCCCCTCCCTGTCCCTTCTCCTACTCTCTCCCTTACCACCACTTGCGCGGCTAGGAGGATGCAGCACGTGATTCTTCCATCCCCTTTGACTCAATTCTTCTCCTTTCGCTCTTCTCTCCCATCTCTCCCCCCTACCCCGCCTTCCCCCCCACCCTGTGCGCGCAGGAGGACGCGGTGCTGTTGGAGCACGTGATGGCGCACGGCACGGCGGAGTGGGGGCAGCTCAGGGCGAGCGGACGACTGCCGCTGCGCGACAACAAGGCGTGCTGCAACCGCTTCCTGCTGCTCAAGAGGTGCGCCACTGCCGCCTCCTGTGCTACAGCCGCCTCCTGTGCTACAGCCGCCTCCTGTGCTACAGCCGCCTCCTCCTTGTTGGAAGGTGTGGTGATGGTGGTGCTGGCAGGGCGTCAGAACCTGACTGTCCCTCTTGAGTGCACCAATCCCGGCCGTCAGAAAGCTCGTCCTCGTGAGCCCAATGGCCCCTCTCAACCCTCGCCTCTCATCTCTCTCCATGCTCTCGCCTCTCCCCTGCCCCGTGCGCCTCGCAGGAAATTCCTTCAACTCGACGACCACCCGCAGACGCAATCGCAGCACCAGGAGCAGTGTTACCTGCAGCAGCACCAGCAGCAGCAACAGCAGCAGCAACATCACCACCTGTGCAACGGCCAACTGCTGCAGCAGCTCGACGTTTCTCCATGGTCCCGCCTTCAGCATCACACGCACCCCGCCACCCTCCCTTGCTGCTTCCAACCGGCTGACACCGCACTGCACCTTGCCACTGCGCCACTGGCCTACCTGCAGGCAGGGCCGCAGCGGACTGCAGGGCACGGCGGGCTGGAGGGCGAGTGGATGGGCAGCAAGGCGGACTGGGGGAGCCCAGAGGGGGGCACGTGGTGGGAAGGCGTGATGGACCCTCATGGGGTGGGAGGCACGCTCATGGGCGCATATGGGTGGGACGGCGCCGTGACTTGCGGAGGTGTGAGTGAGTCGGTGCGCGGCAAGATAGCACGCGAGCAATGCAATGTGGTGCTGCTGCAGCGACACACGGATGCAGTGAGGCGGCAGCAGCCGAATTACTCAGATGGAGTGTGGCCGTACGTGGAGCACGCTGTGAAGGCAAGCGCCTCTGCTGCTCCGTCAGAGTGCTGTGTCGACGTACATGCGCGCCCTGCCCCCACTGCAATCAACCATGCTCCCAGTCACCCCCCTCTTGAGGCGCTGCATTCAGCAGCTTCCCCTCTCATGCTGCCCTCACTACCACTGCCTCCTCCAACCCACGTGGCAGCCACTGCTGCCCCATGCCCACCCCAGCAGCATCACCCTGCGAGCCCTCTCTCGGTGTCCTCATCCAGCGACCACGCCCTCCCTCCCCTCCAACCTCTCCCTCTCGCGCTCCTCCCTCCGGACGCTCACCTGCGCGCCCCCCAGCCCCCTGCTGCACTTTGCTGCACCAGCGTTGCTCCGCCTTCTGCCCTGCATCCTGCTTCTGCTGCTGCTCCTGCTTCTGCTGCATGTGTGGGGGCGGGGCCGTTGAACAGGCAGCCCCAGGCGGATCTGGACAGGTGGGTTCTGGAGCAGGTGGCGCTCATGGTGGGCGAGCAGGGGGGTGCCGCGCCCCAGGGCAGTGCTCTGCTGGCAGATGTGCGAGAGGGCCAGGGCGGCGGAGTGGGTGGTGCGTTGGGGGATTTGGGATTTGTGTTAGGGGAGGGAGGGGTGGGGCATGGGGGAAAGAGGACAAGGGTGAGTGGCGGTGGGGAGTGGTATGAGCAGCAAGGGGAGGCATGCATGTTTGAGGGGGCTGGGAGTTACTGTGGAGGGTGGATGGGCAGAGAGGATGGCGGTAGAAAGAGTATTGAGCAGGAAGGGGAGCAAGAGATGCCGACGCAGGAAGGAGGGCATTGGCATGCTGTTGCCAGGGAAGGGTCCCAAGCTTGTAACCTTGATCACATGGACGTTTCAACCAGTCAACTCTTGAGTGCTTTGCAGAGTGCCCTTAGTGGTGACATTGATAGTTTCGCAAATCATTATGGTGGTGTTTCTCTCCTCGAGAGACCTTCTTGAGTCAAAATCACTAGCTTGTCACCAGCTACATGTGGATAGGCTCCTTTGTATCAATACCTCCAAATCATTAGTATGCGCGTGAATTTGTCTTTCTGCTAACTTCAACTGTGGCTTGATTGATTCATTTGCATGCTTTTTTCGTTAAGTAAGAAGATAAGCTGCCAGTGATTGGAGGTGCATAACGTAAGGACATTGTTATTTATTGGAGGTGGTAAAACAGCAGTTAAGGTCATAGCGAAGTTCCCTTTTCAGGTGCTTATGGTACTATACGAGCACACTACAGATGCGTTCTCCTAATCTCACCACGACCACATGTAGCTTGTGGCTGTCGTTGACAGATGTTTCCTGAGAACTGGGAAATCTTGCCTTCACACCTTCTCGAAACTTGGCCTTATATTTCAGGCCAATCCAATCACAGTGCTTCCCGAGCGAAGTTCTCCCTGGCTGTGGGAGTTACACGTCACCACATCGTGTCAGTTCTGCCTTGGCGTGTCGCATCACATGGCCTCCTCGTGCTTCTCTCAACTCGGCTCCAAACCGGATCACGGACAGGATACACCTGGTCCGCGGTATTTTAACCGCCGCTATCTTAACCACGCGAGGGTACTTCTCCTTTGTCAAACTTATTTAGTCGGGTTTATTCAAACATTTTACGAGGGTAATATCTAGCATTCCCTTTGCGAGAAACGGCAACAAAACTCAAGTCAATGCCGATTCGCCCTCTTTTACGGAGCACTAAGTGTGAGTTTCTGTAAACGGAAATGCCTTCGGCTGGAGAATCATAGCCTCGAAGTCTCTGGGTGCCCATCCCATTACCCAAAAACGAAGATAGGAGGCTCG